TTAACTTTGTCAGATGGGTTGAGCTGAGAACAAGTGAATGGCCCAAAGTGAACTTTCATGACTAAGGACAGATTTAAACCAGGGTCTTCCCTTTGCCTGTCTAATTCATTGCACCGTACTGAGTCTCCTTCTCCCTTCCATCTTCAATCTGCAGTAGGTCTGCTTTTATTTTGTTTCTACTGTGCTCAATATCTCTTCCCCTCCTTGCTTACCTAGAAGACCATTTATATAAAGAGCAATAGTAACAGCACTTAGATTTATATCCTGCTTTGTAGTGCTTTACAGCCCTCTCTAAGTGGTTTATAGTGTCAATATATTGCCCCCAACAAGCTGGGTCCTCATTTTACTCACCTCGGAAGGATTGGAAGTCTGAGTCAACCTTGAGCCTGGTGGGATTTGAACTGCCAAATTGCAGGCAGCCAGTAGTCAGCATAAGTGGCCTGCAGTATTTATTTTATTTTATTTATTTTGTCAAGCAATTATAATATAACAGGTATAAGTATAAACATAGTTATGGATACATGAAATGGATACGTATAAGAAAAATAAATAAATAAATAATAGGATGGGTGTTGGTGCGCTTATGCATGCCCCCTACAGACCTCTTAGGAAAGAGGTGAGGTCAATATTAGACAGTCTAAGGTTAAAGTTTTTGGGGTTTGGGGAAGAAACCACAGAGTCAGGTAGAGTATTCCAGACATTGACCACTCTGTTGCTGAAGTCGTATTTCCTGCAAGCAAGTTTGGTGCGGTTTGTGTGCTCTTGTATTGTTATGGTTGAAGCTGAAGTATTCATTGACAGGTAGGACATTGCAATGAATAATTTTATACACTATATTTAGATTCGACCGAAGACGGCGTAGTTCTAGGTTTTCTAGTACAGCACACTAACCACTGTGCCAAGTTATGATAACACCAAACAAATGATAGTTACAGCCATCCCCAAAGTTACAGTATTGCAGTGGCCCTGCAATCATGCAATCAAAATTTGGGCACTTGCAGCCTACTGGCTTTTACAATCACAGAGTGCACTTCAACTGCCCCAATATTTACCCCAATCCCTGTCCTTTTGGCTGCCTACTCCTGCTGACCCACACTGGCTCATTTCAGTCTCTATCCATTATTTCCAGAGGCACCCCAATCTGCCTGCTGGTACGCTACATGCTGGTACGCTCTACCTCTTTCCAGTGGCCATATGTAATCTTGCTACTTGTTCCATGGGGATAGCACCCCCTAGAAGGCAAGCATTTGTGAGCTTTGGATTATGACTCAAAATAGCCATAACCTAGCTGGTGGTTCTCTGCTTGGTCCTCTGCTGAGTGCAGTCCTGGCACATCTTGGAGCTTGGAGGGCCAGGTTATTGCAATGTGCCTTGCATGGACTTGGCAGAAGTGTTGCTTTCTTAGTGCTGAAATGGGTGGGAGAGAGGGAGGGAGGAAGGAAGCTAGCTCTGTCTCTTCATGTCTCCAGATTGTCATGCCAGGCTGGTGACAGGGATGCTATTACTGAGTTGTCCTCAGGTTTTCCTCAGACACATATGAGTGAGCAGTTCACAAACAAGGAAATAGACAGATAACTTGTACTACTATACATTATTTAAAGAAGCTATGGATAATCTCAAATATTGAGGGCTGCTATACCTCCTCAGGACTTTATAACTTAGCTTTATGGCTTACGGAAACAAAAGAGTTAAATGCTGACATTTGTATAAAATTAAAACCAGAAAGAATAAAGGCTTTTGGGGATCATTTTTTTCTTCTTTTCTGTTCATAATTATAATCCATGATCATTTGGTGAAGCTAAGTGGGAGGAGAATTTGGACAATTAAAAGGCTATTATGAGGTCAGTTATTGTACCATGCAGTAACTATAACCTCTTACCTATGCGAAGGAGGTAACTATTTCAAATTGTTGATTTAAAAAAATAGAATCAGAGTTGGAAATTCAGATGTAGAAGTTGCCTTGATTCCTGTGTTTAGATAAAGAATCATGGGACTATAACAAAATATACAGTACTGAGCAAAAGTCTTAGGCCACCATTAGATCTGTTGTTACAGCAATGGCACATATAATTATGTCTTAATCTCTTTATTAGAATACAGCAAGAAAATAAAGGAAATCTTTATGCAATATTCAAAAACAAGAAAAAGCAGGGTTAGGGGGGTGGGACAATTTCCATAGACCAAAGAGGCAAGTATGTAGTGTGACATCCCCTAAACTTGAGCAACAGCAAACAGTTGGCTCCTGTAAACTTAAATGGAATACAATGCTATATGCTGTCATTGCTAACGCCTATAGGTATCCCAATTGTTTTGATGCCAGAATGACTTCTGTATAAAAAGGTACATTACACCAGGTTTGTGGAAGACATGCTTGAGCATTACATTGCACATACATATGTTATATGACTAATTCATTGGAAGCTTGCTAATAAGACAATTTTCAATCACATCATTCCAGTCAAAATGTAAAAGATCACAGAATGTGACAGACACGAAATCATATTTTTGCAAGGCCACTCTCAACAGCAAATGGATACTCAAGATTTCCTATTCAAGCTATTATTAAAAAAAACGAGGTCAAGAGAAGTTGAAGACAGAAAAAGAATTGGAAATCCAAAGAAACTTTCAAATTCTTATGAGAAGTTCCTCATAGTTTTTTCTTTGAGAGACTGGAAGAGGTTCAAGGGCCTGGCTCAGCATCTTCATCAGGATGCCAAGTTGACCCCTCTACAGTCTTGAGAAGCTTGATTGGGAATGGTTTTGATTGGGAATGGTAGGATAGCAGACAAAATACCACTTTTGTACAAGGGGAACAAGGTGAAAAGGCTAAGGTATGCTAAAGCTCATAGAAACTGGACTAATGATCAGTGGAAAAGAATATTATGGAGTGATGAATCCAAATTTGAAATTTTTGGCAATGTGTGAGAAGAGTTGGAGAGAAATGGAGGAATAAAGATCCTCCTTTTTGGCCTTCATTGAAACATGACGGAGAGTCTGTCTTGGTTTGGAGCTTCATTTCTGCTAGTGGTGTTAGTAATATTGTTCCTATTGATGGGATCATGAATGCTGAAAAGTACAGACAAGTTTTAATTCATCATGCCATTCCTTCTGAAAAACACCTGATTGGGAATGGGTTTATTTTTCAGCATGATAATGATCCCAAGTACACTGCTACTATAGTTAAATTATATTTAGCAAGGAAAACAACTGATAAAATATTGACAGTCATGGACTGGCCTCCACGGACCTGAATATTACAGAGGCAGCATGGGATTACCTGAACAGAGAAACAAATAAAAGACAACCTGAATCTAAAGAAGTGCCCTGGGAAGTCTTGAAAGAAGTCAGGTATAATATACCAGAAGATTACCTAAGAAAACCTCAGGACAATTTCCCCAAAAGACTTCAAGATGTGCTTAGAGCCAAGGGTGGTCACACTAAATATTGACTTTTTGCCTGAAGAAGCCATTTTGTTTTGAAAACTGCTGCTTGTTTAAATTTTGTGTACATATTTCCTGTATTTTCCATTTGAATCTTAATACAGAGACCGAAAAATAATTATGGATGGTCATTAAAACAAAGTGGTGGTGACCTAGGACTTTTGCATAATACTGTACATATTGATGATATACCTGCTGTAGCTTGTTCTTCCATTGACATAATGGGAGAACTCTTCACCTATGCCCCCCCCCTTCACTCATTCCTACAAATCCTAATATTCATATTTTCAAGCTTCCAAATAACTCTGGAAAGAAGGGGAAGAAAGAGGGTCTTTTGTGCATAATGGAAAAAAGTGAAAATTAAAAACAATGTTTTAAGGTATGCATTGCTGTTTTTTAACTATAAGGTAACGTGAATGTATTAAATTGTTAGCTACTATGAGCACAGGTAAAAAAAATCAACATAATGTTCAGACATTGAAATAATAAGATAAGCAAAAGGCTGAATTATATTAGTGTTTTTTATCTGTAAACTGATGCATGTCAGTTTTGCTTAAGCTATTAAATATGTTTACATTTTTGCTATATTTTCATTGGATATAATTTGACCAATAGGATGAATTTACTTATATATAGAGGTATAAATTCTAACATTCCTGTTTTTTTTTTCATTTTTTTAAGGAAAAAATTTGTATACTAATGAATATGTGGCAATTAAACTGGTAAGTTAACATTAGTTATTATTTGACATAAAAATGCACAAGATTTTAATCTGTTTTCAAGAACTTAAAAAAATAATTGAGATTGTTAAAATAATTTAGTGGAATAGAGGATTCCTTTTTTTGGTCCCCCATCATTCTTTTAGATTTTAAATTACACGAATGTAAGATATAAATCCTCTTAAATGATATACTTTAACATGAAAATCATAATAAAGAAGCTCTTTGCCGATGTTACACCATGTTACATGATAAGAGGTTTGCTTCATGAAATAATTCTGAAAGCAATATAATTTCATTATTCATATCTGAACAACTTATTTCTTAGGATTGGAAGAAAAGTATTTGTGCGATTTTAGAAAATGAGTCTATTTCCTTGTGAAGTACATTTTTCTTTATGCTTTCATAGCCCAATTTACTTTTCATTTCTATAAAGTTAAGAAAAGGCAACCCAGGAGCAATATTATCTTTTCCAAAGTCTTATAGGATTGATAATTAATAGTTAACAATATGGCAGTGGATATTTTAATGTAGAAAATACAAAAAGCCTTCATCCCATATTTATAATTTAATGCAAAAGTTGTAAACATTTCCAAAATTGCAGTGTAGCCTATACGTTTATCTCTGACTGTATAAAGAAAAATAAATCGATATCAAGGGGTGAAACGTTTGAATGTGCATGCTTATATGTAGAACTGCACACAATATTTCAAACCCCCAACTCATGGACCCAATAAATGGGTGTTCTGACTATGATAGAAATATGCAGAGCTCAAAAAACATATTTGAACTCAAACTCAAAGCACTTCTGGAGTGGTCAGTGTAACGTTAGAAATTCAAAGGCCCTGCTCTGAACTTCAAATGAAGCTTTTGAACTTGAAGCATGAATGTTTCGCATACCTTTGGCCTACATTCACATTCATCTGTCTGTTTATACTGTACAAAGAGAGTGATATATTGTATATGGGATAGTATAGAAAAGTTTTTAAAGATTTGGGAACAGAAGCAAGATTATTGCTTATTATTGGAAGCAACCAATACTTACCCTCTCTGATGAAATAAAAAGATGCATGTACTGCGATAATAGTTTTTATGGTTCTAGCAACCAATAGTTCATTGCGCATATGTTATATAACTTCTTATTCAAAGTATCAATATTGTAATTTTACACTATTGAAATTTAATTTTTAAGTATCACATTGCATATACAGTACGTGTGAGAAGCCTACACACTCACAAAGACACACATACATGTACACTTATTATCTTTTTCTCGACAGTTTTCTTGTTTTTGTTCAGTTTTCTTAAATAAGTGAAGGCAATTTTTTAAAAAAACCATAAATGATGATTGGAAAGAATAGTATCTGATTTCTATTATATAAACACATGCACATATACAACTTGTGTATATGTATGTATGTGTGTTTGTTCACACACTGTATACGTGTGAATATGTATTACGTACAGCATAGTAATTTCAAGTTTACCGAGACAGTTGGGTCAGCACTGAGCTATTGGCAGCTTCCCAGCATTTCTCCAAGCAATTTCTAGCAATTAAATGTACCATTAGTATAGTTTATGTTTATGTTGACACTTTACATGAAACTGTAACTGATAATGTCAACCACAGTATCCTTCTGGACTGGTTGTGAGGGTTAGAGAGTAGGAGGCACTGTGATTTAGTGGTTCACCGCCTTCCTTAGTGGTCAGTTCTAATCGGTGTGGACAGAGAGAGAGAGATCATGTCCGGAGCTCCTCACATGCAGAGTTGATGCTCTCTCCTCTCGTATTCAATATCTATATGAAGCCACTAGGTTAGGTCATTCAGAAGCTGAGGGTATGATAAAACCACAATGCTGATGATACCCAGTTCTCCATTTCTATCCCAAGTGCCTCTGTATGATGGATTGACCAAGTGTCTGGAATCTGTATGGGTCTGTATGGGGCAGAATAGACTTCAGCTCAACCTTAACAAGACTGGGTGGCTGTGGACTCCCTGGGCTGGGGATGTTACTGTCTGTTCTGTCCCACGCCCTTTTCCGACACATCAAACACAATCCAAAAGGAACAAAAACCTTGTAATGCTTTTACAAAATAATTAGCTGTGATAAGCACAAGCCTTGCCAAACTGTGCGAGGCTTGCCAAAAGATAACAGACAAAAAATAATTTGCAAGACAAAAATGTTCAAATACAAACTCAGGATACTGGAACGTCCATGAGGCTGGAGTTTCAAAACTTCTTTGCCTTCTGCAAAGAAGGTTAGTTTCACAGCTGGCTTTTATCTTATTGAAGGTAGGGCCATTACCTTGCAGCCTTACTCCCAAGTTGCCCATGCTGTTGTAACAGTTCTTTCCTCCGAGCAATCCTGCACACACGCGCACTTGGCACAGGCTCCTCGGGAACCTCCTCATCACTGCTGCCAGCCCCCACAATCTCTGAAGGCAGCAGTCCACTCCCTAATGGTCCTGGCCCCTCATCTGAGTCCTCGCTCTCGTGAGCCGTCTGCACCTGCTGCTGGCTAACCACAACACTGTCTTTGATCTTGGAGGGAATTATCCTTCCCCATTCAAGATAGATGTATAACTTGGGGGTCTTTCTGAGTTGCAGCTACTATTTAATTCATCTTTGCACAGATCCATCTTGTATGCCACCTGTGTTCTTTCCTGACAATCACTCATGTCCTGGATATCTGAGAAATTAGTTGTCTTCAATTGTTTCTGCCCATCCAATACATTTCAGCAAAGTGGCTGTGCTTCAGGTCACATCCATTAAACATTGCCATCTTGTCGAACCTAGGAAATGGTGCCTTCTCTGTTGTGTCTTCTACCATCTGAAACAGCTTCCCCCTCAAATATAAGGGCAGAGCTATCGTAGGGTTCCAGAAAGCTTTGGAAACTTGTCAGGTCTCATGTCTGAGGTTGATGTTTGTTATTTAATGAACCCTGTTTTGTTGATTTTGTTGTTTATTGTTGTTTTAGTTTGGAATGACAAATTTAACATTTTAGCTCTTTTATGTTTTTTTCTAGTTATGCATGCTTCCCAGAACCTACTGGAGTTGGATGGTCAATACATTTAATTAGAAATGAATGAATGAATGAATTGAATGAATGAAACAAAACACAACATGGAATAAAGATAAATTATTCAGATTGATTAATTGGAACTGCTGTACTTAGAGATCTCCATCTTGGAGATAATCTCGGCTATTTTTTTTTCACTTGCCTCAACTTTGCTCTCTTATGAGATAATACTTATAATGCCCCTGTTGCCGAGCAGGTTAAAGTAACTCTATGATCTTAGTTTGAGTTTGGTTTATTATTTTAAAGTATTCTATCTTTGTTAGGTGCTTTGACATGTCCTTGTGATTCATTTCTTGAGTATAACTTGGATTGTTTTGGAGCCAATTTTGGTATATGATTTCTTTCGGTCATTTTAGTAATTTTAAGTTCTAGCTTTGTGTGGATTTTACAGATATACATCTTGGGTTGTATACTGTCCAGTTGAAGGTAATCTTTGTATTTTTTCTATATCTGTTTTTATTCTTTATTAATCCTGCTGCAACTTGCATAGCTAGAATATATTCATTTTTCTGTGTTTCCCTTTATAATATATTGGCAGTCAACTATGCTATCTACTTAGTTGGAAAGTGAAATCTTCCAGTGTTGTCTGTGGATTAAAACACTTTGTCAAAAAGAGGAATCTTTTTTCCTGCATACGTTCAAGCTTAAGTATAACTTCCAGAAATTTCTAAAATGTTGGAATGTTAGCCAACCTCTGTCTTTGTTATGCGAAAGACTTCAAATAGCCTTAGGCCTCTGTTATTCCTATAAACCTTAGAAGTCCAAATTACTTTCCAGTTAATAAAGGCATTGTTTGAACTTTTTTATGCCATTTAAGCAGTAATGAGTTTACTTTCTTTTTATTATTGAATAAGGGTGGAATTTATGGTTGATTTGCTAAATAAAGTGCTTCTTTTAATGAAATGGGAAAAGAGAGGAGATGTGAAGGCATAAAATAAAAATGCAATGTTTTTTCTTA